TCTCTCCAGCCCTCCCTCCCTTGCTCTCTCCATCCCTCCCTCTCCCTCTCCATCAGTCCCTCCCTCCCTCTCCATCCTCCCTCCCTTTCCCTCCCCCCTTCCTCCCTCTCTCCATCCTTCCCTCCCTCTCTCCAGCCCTCCCTCCCTCCATCTCTCCAGCCCTCCCTCCCTCCCTCACTCTCTCCATCCCTCCCTCTCCATCCCCCCTCCCTCCCTCTCTCCATCCTTCACTCTCTCTCTCCAGCCCTCCCGCCCTCCATCCCTCCCTCTCTCCAGCCCTCCCTCCCTCCCTCCCTCCCTCCCTTGCTCTCTCCATCCCTCCCTCCCTCCCTCTCCCTCTCCATCCTCTTTCCCTCTAACCTCCCCCCTTCCTCCCTCTCTCCATCCTTCCCTCCCTCTCTCCAGCCCTCCCTCCCTCCATCTCTCCAGCCCTCCCTCCCTCTCTCCATCCCTCACTCTCCATCCCCCCTCCCTCCCTCTCTCCATCCTTCACTCCCTCTCTCCAGCCCTCCCCCTCTCCAGTCCTCCCTCCCTCCCTCTCTCTATCCATCCCTCCCTCCCTCCCCCACTCTCTCCATCCCTCCCTCCCTCCCTCCCCCGCTCTCTCCATCCCTCCCTCTCCCTCTCCATCCGTCCCTCTCCCTCTCCATCCCCCCTCCCTCCCTCTCTCCATCCTTCCCTCCCTCCCTCTCTCCCTCCCTCCCTCTCTCCAGCCCTCCCTCTCTCGCTCTCTCTCCATCCCTCCCTCCCTCGCTCTCTCTCCATCCCCCCCTGCCTCCCTCTCTCCATCCCTCCCTCTCTCTCCCCATCCCTCCCTCTCTCTCCCCATCCCTCCCTCTCTCCATCCTTCCCTCCCTCTCTCCATCCATCCCTCCCTCCCTCTTTTCATCCATCTCCTTTCTCCCTCCATCCATCCAGAATTGAAGAAACAAATCAAGTTAAAAAAAAAGTTAACTGGGTCAATGAGTTAGGGTTATCACCGAGCCGGTCCCTTCACCACCACCGACACACCTCCCCCACCCCTACAGCCCATACACTCACACACACGCTGCTCAACTCAACCTCCATACCTCCCTCAAATCATCCATCCTTCCATCCCTCTCTCCATCCTTCCATCAATCCATCTCCATCCTCTCCTTCCCTGACTCCCTCCCAACCTCTGCCTGCCTCCCTCCCTGGCTCCCTCCCAGCCCCTGCCTGCCTCCCTGGCTCCCTCCCAGCCTCTGCCTGCCTCCCTCCCAGCCTCTGCCTGCCTGCCTCCCTCCATGGCTCCCTCCCAGCCTCTGCCTGCCTGCCTCCCTCCCTGGCTCCCTCCCAGCCCCTGCCTGCCTCCCTCCCAGCCTCTGCCTGCCTCCCTCCCAGCCTCTGCCTGCCTGCCTCCCTCCATGGCTCCCTACCAGCCTCTGCCTGCCTGCCTCCCTCCTTGGCTCCCTCCCAGCCCCTGCCTGCCTCCCTCCCAGCCTCCCTGGCTCCCTCCCAGCCTCTGCCTGCCTCCCTCCCAGCCTCTGCCTGCCTGCCTCCCTCCATGGCTCCCTTCCAGCCTCTGCCTGCCTGCCTGCCTCCCTCCCTGGCTCCCTCCTAGCCTCTGCCTGCCTCCCTCCCAGCCTCTGCCTGCCTGCCTGCCTCCCTCCGTGCCTGCCTCCCTCCCTGCCTCTCCCTCACAAGCTCTGCCTGCCCGCCCCCCTTCCTGCCTACCTCCCTCCCAATCTCTGCCTGCCTGCCTCCCTGCCTGCCTGCCTCCCTCCTTGCCTGCCTGCCTGCCTGCCTGCCTGCCTGCCTGCCTGCCTGCCTGCCTGCCTCCCTCCCTCCCTCCCTCCCTCCCTCCCTCCCTCCCTCCCTGCCTGCCTGCCTGCCTGCCTGCCTGCCTGCCCCTGCCTGCCTGCCTGCGTGCCTGCCTGCCTGCCTGCCTGCCTGCCTGCCTGCCTGCCTGCCTGCCTGCCTGCCTGCCTGCCTGCCTGCCTGCCTGCCTGCCTGCCTCCCTCCCTCCCTCCCTCCCACCCTGCCTGCCTCCCTGCTTGCCTATCCACCCACCAGTTAGCCATCACTGACACAATGAATGCATTTGGAGCCGACATGGTGCACGGATGTTCCTAGATTGTGCAGATATGGAAGTCGCGGAATGAACACTGCAGCCTCTTGACAAATCAAAATATAGTGTTAAAATTAAAGTTGCAGTAATTTTAGTGTACAATAGTTTTCATAAACTTTATTGTAGTACTCAACATACAACAGAACTACTTAACACAGTGTTAACGGCATAATACACTACAGTATGTATTTACTGTACAGCATTCACAACTCCATGAGACTTCAAGATGGACTTAACTCCAACAATAAGGTAAATAACAAATGTAACAGTATTTGTTAGTAGAGTAATAATATATAGGTACAGTATATAATATGATAATGCATTTTTATTGTCTACAAGAAAAATAAAGACACTGATGCAAACGCCTCCTGAAGGTCATCTCTTGCAACGAATCCAATGCTCCAACGAACTGGGGTCGGTCCCATATAGTACGTTGAATCGAGGTTGTACTGTATATCAAACTACACACTATTGAATAATATTACAGCAAAAAAAACTATGAAAAATCAATCAGACACATTGAAATAATTGGGTAATTATCGCTTTGTGGCAACTTCGGCCTGACAGCTGGCGACCAACAGACCGCCTGGGATGCACGCTGAGTCAGCGCCTGTTTTTTGCCAAACTTCCCCACCCTATAGCGGGCAATATATGCCACTTACGATTTTTTTTTTATTATTTTTCCCATGATCAGTGAACAGAAATTAACAGGTTAGGAAGAAATTTTTTTTTTTTTTTTTTCAAAATTACATGCGCCTGTGGGGAACAAAGGATATTATACCCCCACAGCATGTTATGTGTTAACCCTTAAACTGCGCAAATCATATATATATATGCTTTCAGTGACAAAAGCGAAACCGCGCATGTCATATATTTTTTCATGTCTAGCGCTATAATTTAAACGAGTAGCGAACCGCCTGGGATAGGGGCAGCTATATTGCAACTATGACCGATAGTTGCCAGATGCCACCGACAAAAAAAATCCAGGCCAACATCCTTGAGTGTGAGAGTATCAGTATTGAGCGAGCAACCAAGGCTGATACAGCACCGCTGTTCAGCTTATGACACAGCATCGCCTACAAATGCCATAATATATATGTTCATGATATTATTTAGCAATGATAGTATTACAGAAGACCCCTGACTGTGATAAAAACTGACCAGGATTCTGATAATAGCAGGATTGTGGTGATATTTATCACTGTGCTCCATGGAGGGAGGAGTAATGCTGTGGGAGGGAGGGTGGTGGCATTGTCTTCTGATTGTGTGTGGCCACCTTTTATTGACTGCACCCACTACACCAGCTTAGTGGTTCGCTATGGTGAACACAAATGTAGATACTTATATATAATGTGTGTATAGAGTGTAATAACAGCAATAGGAGTAGGTTGGGAGCCGCCATTTTGGTGAGGGAGGTGCGTCGTCTGCACGACTTATCATGTTGTTTACTTGTGGCCATTATGGTCTTTGGGCACCATACCAGCTTATTTGTTCAGGTATGGTGAATAAAACAGGTAGATACTTATATATAATGTGTGTATATAGCATAATAACACCACAAACAATATTGTTGGAGGACAAATATTAGTGCGTCTGGCCTTGAGGGCGGCAGCCGATCAGCTGACTGTGTGAGTAGCTACGTCTTATGGCCTTTACTCACCATACAAGCTTAGATGTACAGTTATGGTGAACAAAACATGTAAATACGTATATATAACGTCTGTGTATAGTGAATAAATACAGAAAGAGTATTGTGGGAGGTAAATGAGGGTGAGTGAGGTGGTGTTAAGGGAGGGAGTGGCAGTGAGTGGCTCGCTGGTGTTTGGTGGTCACTCCTCGTTGCTTTTTGACTCACAAGACCAACTTAGTAGTTTGTTATGGTGTACAAAACATGCAGATACTTATATATAACCTGTGTATATAGTGTAACAACAGCAAAACTATTTGTTTATTGTTTTATGAACATAATAATTGAATCACTAATATGCACACCATAATTTTGAGTACAGCGATGGTTCACACATTTTATAATATAAATATACCACAATTCACTGTATGGAATAATATTACTGCAAAAAAACTAAGAAAAAAATCAGAGACATTGAAATAATTAGGTAATAATATATTTGTGGCAACTGCCGTCTGACAGCTCGGGCGGAGTAGACCTCGTCTGGCGAAGGCTCTGTCAACGCCCTTTTTTTGCCACACTTCCCTACCCTATTGCGGCTAAAATATGCCACCTACGATTTTTTTGTTATTTTTTCTGTGATCAGGGAACAAAAATGAACACTTCTATAAGACGAAAGAATTTTTTGGGTTTTTTTTTTTTTTTTGTTGTTGCGCCTGTGGGTGTGAATTCCATTTGGGCCCCTAGCGGTTTGAGGGTTAAGAAGGTACATTGGACTGAGAAAGTAAATTATTAAATAATTTATCCATATCTGTGCCTGGGAATCTTTCACCCTTAATTACCTATGACCCCTAATTATTAATGGTGTCCCTTAGGTATATTTGATCATTAATGATCATGACAGTTATAGTGTTGATTAGAAGTACAACAGGAGACGGTCGGCCGAGCAGACAGCACGCGGGACTTGTGATCCTGGGTTCGATCCCAAGCGCTGGCGAGAAACAATGGGCAGAGTTTCTTTCACCCTATGCCCCTGTTACCTAGCAGTAAAATAGGTACCTGGGTGTTAGTCAGCTGTCACGGGCTGCTTCCTGGGGGTGGAGGCCTGGTCGAGGACCGGGCCGCGGGGACACTAAAAGCCCCGAAATCATCTCAAGATAACCTCAAGAATATTATTTTCCCAATGAATTCATGTTTATTTTATAATGCTGTATGTTGGTATAACTATTCCAGTAGGTTTGAGTTAAAGCATGGTGTTTTTATCAATTATTATTTTTATAATAGGTAGATGAAACAGAAAGCAGTACAGTATTTGCAACAAATCCTTCTACTCCAGCAGTAGTCAAACCACAAATCAGTAGAATAAATTTGCCTAGAAGATCAACCCCAGCCAGCATACATGCAGGTAAATATTATTTAATAAGCTTGTGACCAAATTGCAAATAAAGAAGTTTTAAAGTATCTGTAGTTATAAAGCAATTATTCTTTATAGTCATAGTTATACTGCATTTGTCATATTATAAAGATTGTTGTTAAAAATGCATTTATCATTGGGTTAGGCTAGCTATTCTTTCCTATTGGTTTTTTAAGTTGTATTATTATGCAGTATTAGGCTATTGTAATGAATAGGAATGTATAAAACCCAATATTTCTTTTGGCAGATTCGTTATTGTTTCCTGAAAACTATGTTTACTTGCCAGATGTACCAAGTATAACTCCTGACAATATTGATGGTATTATTTATAAAATCTTTTGTTTATGGCATTTATAATACAGTACTGTAATATCAAACTTTACCACTTTGTGTAATACAGTAAGTCTTTTCTGGGGGAAGCCCCTTCGGCTCCCCGGAGTTTTGCAGGCAGATATGCTAAGTGTCAGACTTTTGCATCAGTCATGTATATGGAGTTCTTTGGGCCTATTGGGGACCACGGCCAGAACCTGGCCCCCTCAGTGAGGCAAGGGGGAGCAATGGCTTATAGAAGCAGTAGTGTGGTTGGAAGCATTCTATGTCTGCCATCGACCAGGTCAGGCACCCAGAAAGAGAAGCATTTTGCAGCGCTGTGCTTAGTGTGTGGTGGCTGTTCTCCAGGGGTGCGAGAGCCACGAGTTAGTCCTCAGTACTCGGGCTGCATGCGCCTAGGGTTGCCTTAATTCCTTAGGTGCCCTGTAAGTACTGCCCTGGTGAAAACAAACCCCTATTCTGGTGAAAATATTGCTACCAAAAGCCGAACAAGTGGACAGAACACCCCTAAACGAAACGAGCAAATGATTATGACATCACACGTCATCGCGCCGCTGTCTGCGGGGGAGCCCCAGACCCCACACGCCGGCTATCCACCCTCAGTTCTTAGGCTGATGCTAGAGGCAATGGTCGTGTGCTCTGGCTCCAGAGTTTTTGCAGCGCTGTGCTTAGTGTGTGGTGGCTGTTCTCCAGGGGTGCGAGAGCCACGAGTTAGTCCTCAGTACTCGGGCTGCATGCGCCTAGGGTTGCCTTAATTCCTTAGGTGCCCTGTAAGTACTGCCCTTGGGGCTTGGGGTTCCCTTCGAGGCAGGTCCCTCGGGACCTGCCTCTGCGGGGCCGTTTAACTGCTCGTTTTTTCAGCCGCCCTTTGGGTGCTTGGGGATTCTGTCACCCTTGTTTAACTTTGGGTAAGAGGCAGTTTGCACAAGTCAGGTGTGCAGGTTGCTGCGCTGCTTGTTTTCACCAATTACAGCGGCCGGCTCTATTCCTTGGGGTACGTTGTCCTCTTGTGGGTTTTGTTTTTCTTTTTCTTTTTGCCTTGTAGGGGGATCTGCCCTCCTTGCCACTGGTGCTTGATCTAATACGGTTTTCCTTGGTGGTGCTTCCCGCTAGGTCCCCGTGAGTGTACATGTCCCTGAGGTTCAGCTGTAGAAACTTTGGTCGTGCTGGGTGCCGGTTAGCAGTACCCTGCCTGGGGTTACCTGAGCCCGAGTCCTCTTGTAGTAAACGCTCAGGCCCCTGGGAATTCCCTATGGGGCGCACGGGTCTGATGGATGTGTCCCAAGAGTTCCCCCTCGCTTCATGCGAGTTTGAGGGTTGTTTGGTCCCCTAGTCTCAGGGCGACCCTCACTATTTTTGCCTCCGTCACGTTGCCTGTTGGGTCGGTGACACTTTCGACCCTGAGTCCTGTGAGTTTTGCTGCTTGCTGGTGACACAATTTACCCAATCTGCTGATGATCATCTTAGGGTACAGGCAGCACAGACGTAGCATGCTAGGTTTAGGTTGTCGCAATGAGCGGTTGGTTGCTCACCCAGATGCCTCGCGGCTGCCCCGTTTTTCTTAAAGGAATCTGGACTTGATGGTGGGGGATCGCCTCGATCCTGGTTCAGTCCGCACCTTCTCATCCTTCCCCTCCTGTTCTTCGTTCTGGTCCCCTTCCCCTGCTTCTGGCCCCGAAATGTTTGAGCGTTTCGGAGTCGGTGCAGGGGTTAGTTGGTCTTGAGACTCGGGCAGCCTCGGAGGATGCCCCTTCCGGTGTGGCGACGGGGGCATTCGAGTCTAGTCCCCCAGCTGAAGCCTCTGGGTCTGACCAGTGGGCCCCTTCTGTCCGGCTTCTATGGCTGCGCCCGCCTTGTCTTGTGGGGTCAGTGCTTGGGGGGAGGACTTGGCCCCTGTTCCTGCGGAGGAGGACATTGGGGCTGTTGAGGGGCTGATTTGGGGGGGACGTGGGCCCTGCTGGACCCCACCTGGGTTTTGCTGCTCTCTGAGCGGGGCTTACTGTTACAAGGAGTGGGGTTTTCTTTGCCCCCCTCTGTGTACGAATTAGATTTGGTGTCTGCCCCTCGCCGGGTTCGGTTCCGTGTTCCCCCGGGTGCTTCGGTTCCGTCTTTCTAGAGGTTTTCGGTTTATCGCATCCAACCTGCTGCGGTGCGGGCGGCTCTTGCGGCTAACCTCCTGCGTGACCCGGATTATGCCTCGGCAATGGATCCCTCGGGGTTCAGGTTTTCCTGGGGGCGACCTTAAGCACTTCAATGAGTGCTTGTTTGCTCCTGCCCTTCCACGTGATGTTGGGGTCGTTCAGCTCCATGTGCAGGTTCTCTCCCTTTCGACTGCGCTGGTGGCTGAGGACTTCCCCTCCCAGAGCCTTTTAGCTTCAGCCTTGCATTTCTTTTCCTTCCTGGAGCTGTCTTCGGACTGGCTCGAGGAGGATGTACGGGCGCTTGGGGCTGTTCCTGGTTCTGGCACCTTGGCCTCGGTTGCTCGCTCGTCGGCTGCCTTGTTGAAGCTTTTCTCGCTGATCTTGCGGGATGCGGTTTCCCTATTTTATGCTTCCTGGCTCGTGTTTCGGCAGGTGGTGCTTGCCTCCTCTGTGGAATCTGCTTGGGCTGTGACTCTTAGGATGTCTTTGCCTTTTTGTCCTCTGCTGTTAGAGGATTCAGCCGTATCGCAGTATATTCAGGCTGCTTCGGCTTCTTGCCGTCCTGTGTCAGACTGACTGGTTCTCTGGGGGTCCCGTGGTGGGCCTTCCCGGAAGGATCATGCCAGGGCTCGGGGTTCCTCTCGTCGTGGTAGGCCACTTTTGCCGGGTTTGGGTTCGACTCGGCCTTCTGACCGCCTTCGTCTGGTCTTGCTTGATACCTGCTTGATGGGGTTTTGGGAGTTTTTCTACTCAAGTCCGGCCCGAGGCCAGGCATGACTTGTGAGAGTTTGGTCCACTAGAGTTTGGCCCGCAGGCCCACATACCCACCACAGCCCGGTTGGTCTGGCACTCCTTGGAGGAAACAATCTAGTTTCCTCTTGAAGATGTCCACTGTTGTTCCGGCAATATTTCATATGCTCGCTGGGAGGACGTTGAACAACTACGGACCTCTGATGTTTATACAGTGTTCTCTGATTGTGCCTATGGCACCTCTGCTCTTCACTGGTTCTATACTGCATTTTCTTCCTTATCGTTCACTCCAGTATGTTGTTATTTTACTGTGTAGATTTGGGACCTGGCCCTCCAGTATTTTCCATGTGTATATTATTTGGTATCTCTCTCGTCTCCTTTTTTAGTGAGTACATTTGGAGAGCTCTGAGACAATCCCAATAATTTAGGTGCTTTATCACGTCTATGCGTGCCATATATGTTCTCTGTATTCCCTCTATTTCAGCAATCTCTCCTGCTCTGAAAGGGCAAGTGAGTACTGAGCAGTACTCAAGATAGGACAACACAAATGACTTGAAGAGTACAACCATTGTGATGAGATCCCTGGATTTGAAAGTTCTCGTAATCCATCCTATAATATTTCTGGCCGCCACAATATTTGCTTGGTTATACTCCTTAAACATTAGATCGTTGGACATCATTATTCCCAAATCCTTGACATGCTGTTTTCCTACTATGGGCAGATTCGATTGTGTTTTGTACCCTGTATTATGTTTCAGATCCTCATTTTTACCGTACCTGAGTAACTGGAATTTATCATTGTTAAACATCATGTTATTTTCTGCTGCCCAATCAAAAACTTTGTTGATATCAGCTTGTAGTTTTTCAGTGTCTTCCTCAGAGGTAATTTTCATGCTAATTTTCATGTTATCTGCAAAGGATGACACGAAGCTGTGACTTGTATTTTTGTCTATATCTGATAAGAGAATAAGGAAAAGCAGTGGTGCAAGGACTGTACCTTGAGGTACAGAGCTTTTAACTGCGTTTGGGCTCGATTTTAATTGATTGACTGTTACTCCTTGTGTTCTGTTTGACAGGAAATTGAGTATCCAGCGTCCTACTTTACAAGTTATTCCCATTGACCTCATTTTGTGTGCTATCACCCCATGATCACATTTGTCGAATGCCTTTGCAAAGTCTGTGTGTACTACATTTGCATTTTGCTTTTCTTCCAGAGTTTTTGTGATTTTGTCATAGTAATTATTACCTAAGTGTAGTTACAGGATGAGAGCTACGCTCGTGGTGTCCCGTCTCCCCAGCACTCTTTGTCATATAATGCTTTGAAACCACTGACGGTTTTGGCCTCCACCACCTTCTCACTTAACTTGTTCCAACCGTCTACCACTCTGTTTACAAAAGTGAATTTTCGTATATTTCTCCAGCAGCTTTGTTTCGTTAGTTTAAATCTATGACCTCTTGTTCTTGAAGTTCCGAGTCTCAGGAATTCTTCCCTATCAATTTTATCTATTCCTGTTACTATTTTGAACGTAGTGATCATATCGCCTCTTTTTCTTCTATCTATTAGTTTTTGCATATTTAATGCCTCTAATCTCTCCTCGTAGCTCTTGTCCTTCAGTTCTGGGAGCCACTTAGTGGCATGTCGTTGCACCTTTTCCAGTTTGTTGATGTGCTTCTTAAGATATGGGCACCATACAACCGCTGCATATTCCAGCTTTGGTCTAATAAAAGTCGTGAACAATTTCTTTAGTATTTCTCCATCCATGTATTTAAAAGCAATTCTAAGGTTAGAAAGTGTAGCATAGGCTCCTCACACAATGTTCTTAATGTGGTCCTCAGGTGACATTTTTCTATCTAAAACCACCCCTAGATCCTTTTCTTTATCAGAATTCTTTAAAGATTTCTCACATAATTTATAGGTTGTGTGGGGTCTATGTTCTCCAATTCCACATTCCATAACGTGGCATTTATTCACATTAAATTCCATTTGCCAAGTGTTGCTCCATATACTTATTTTGTCCAGGTCTTCTTGAAGGGCATGACAATCATCTAAGTTTCTTATCTTCCCTATTATCTTAGCATCATCAGCAAACATGTTCAT